GAAAGAATGCTTTGGCAATGGCATCCATATTCTAGTGTTTATTACAAGCATATCCATGAGGTCCAAAGGAGAAAGGACATTTAACACACGTATATAAAAATAATTCATCAAAATTACAAAAAAAAAAAAATTCTCCCTACACACATATCAAATTATGATTGACAGAAACATAGGAACTATTATGTAAAAAAAAAAAAAGCATCATCTTATCTTTGATCTGTTTCTGGTATGAACACACTGCAATCCTAAAGTACTACTCTCCAGCTATCATTTTGACTCTTCTGCTAAAGACACCCAATATAATTTACCTAAAAGCATGCATTACTAGAGTCTAGATCTCTCCACCTCAACAAAAACATGCATTCTTTTTGGGGTTTTGGCCAAGATTCTTTCTTTGCCCACTAAAAATATGCCTGCCTTAAGAAATTTATAACTCCCATGCTGCACAAAATTTAGTACTTGTATATACTGGAATATTCAATTTAGTGGCTACTCAGAAAACAAATAAATAAAGAGGAAAAAGAATATTTGACCCAAAAAAAAAGAAGAAAAGTATTCATAATTTCGACACCAAAAGAAGAAATAATAAGCAGAAAGATAAAGGATAATTTATATTATGTTTGATTTATTTTCTTTTGGGGTTGATTTTGATCTTCTTTTTGTGTGTAGAAAGAAAGGAAGGAAAGAAGAAGAGCAGGTCATTTCCCAATAAGCGGATTTTAAGGAGCCGTTGGAGGGTCTCTTGTGAAACCTGAGGGCAATTCTGTCATCCGAGTACCTTTTCCAATAAAATACTGATGTTGCATTGTATTGCTTTCTGACACGCACCAATTCTGCCACTGTGCTCTGTTTAAAGCAGTATTTTCTGCAATGCAATGCTGATAGTTGGTCCAGTGGAAGGGTCTTGGATCCTTTAAACAAGAGGTCCTGGGTTCGATTCCAGGCGCTTGCGAATAGAGCAGACTAGTACCTCGAGGGTTAGTCCCCGCAATCGCGCGGGGGATACCTTGGTTTTCACCAAAAAAAAAATGCTGATATTGAAACACCAAAAAAAAAAGAAAAAAAAAAGAAACTCTTTGGTTTTTTTTAAAATACGAAATGATAATTTAAATTATTTTAAATTAATTTAATTTACGAGAAGGGAACTCTAATTTGAACTCTAGGATTTTATAATTGATTTATAATAAAAAAAAGGAGAAAAAGGAAAAACAAAGAGAGGGTTTTTCCATCAAAAAAGAAGAAAGGGTTTTAGATTATTTTCCAAGAAATCTGACACACTCTACGAGGCTCTTTGCTCTCTCACTCACCTCCTCTGTGACTAAACCATAGTGTACCAGATTCCTCTCTCTCTCTCTCTCTCTCTCTCTCTATATGCTCTTTCAGTCTCCGTTCATCATTTCAATATCAGTTTTAGCCTCGCCATCTCTGCAAAATCTTTGTATCAGAGGAGCCTCCCTTAAAAGCCTCTGAGACGCTCGGGTTCTATTTTTTGTGGCCAACTCTTTCGCATTCATTGCTTTGAGTTTCAGCCCGTTGGGGTTTCCGTATGGGTTTTCTTTTATGAGCCCCAACCACTCCTACACTCTGGCTCTGCTGCTTTTCTGGCTCACCCTGCTATGAAAACAACTACTCGTCTCTGTTTTTGGCTCTGAGCACTGTTTTGTGCGAACCTCATAGTTTTACTCTGAAAGAAAGTTCAACGATTTCCTCGCATTTTCGCTATCTGGGTCTTGTCTACATCTTCAAAACCAAGTCTTCCTCAAGTGGGTTTTTCGTTTGCTGCATAACGCACATATGCTTTTGGGAGCTGTAATGCTAAATGCTCTGTTTTTCCTCTGATCAGTAATATAAGGTTTGGGTTTAAAGAAAGGGTTTTTCTTATTTTTCCAAAGCTGTTCTTTTTAATTCATTTTCTTAGTGGTTTGTTTTTGCTTTGAGAAGAGTGTTTTCAGTCTTTTTGAGACATTTAAAATGGGTTTTCTTTAATAGATTTTATTGAAAATTTGGGCTCTTTGTGCTTTCATGAAACGGGTCTTTTTTCTTTTTCAGAGGTTCTGTTTGGTTACCAAGAAAATGAGCGTAATTTCATGAGCTGGGTCCCAAAATTTTCCGTCTAAAATGGGTGGTGCAAACTCTAAAACCGAGAAGGACGAAGCTCTGCGTCTCTGCAGAGAGCGCAAGAGATTCATCAAGCAAGCAATTGATTCAAGGTATGCTTTAGCAGCTTCTCATGTATCTTACATCAACTCCCTTAGAAACATTGGCATTGCGCTTCGGCGATACGCCGAGGCTGAGGTGTTGATAGAGTCGTCTCTGTCAACATCAGACAAGACCCCATCACACTCCTCCTACCCTTCACCGTCACCATCACCTATGGCTGAGGCTTCTGACTCGCCTATGCACAGTGAGAGACCCATTTCGCCTCCTGTGGCGACTCTGAGTTATATGAGGTCAGGAGGTGGTGCTGCTGTGACTGTAAGGTTCAATCCGCTTAGTAGTAGTTATATGGATGACGATATTCCGTTGCCACCACCACCACCTCCTCTGCCTGAGGAAGATTCTTCTTGGGATTATTTTGATCCTGTTGATGAGAGTGAGAGCTTTAGGTTTGTGGGAAATAGTGGAGTGGATGTGAATTTTGATGATATCAGAGGGTGGAGACATGTGAGGGGTGAAGAAACTAATCATAGTGTGGTGGAGGAGACAAGGAGATGGGCAAAAGTTGGATTAGATGGAAGTAATGAACATCATGAAGGAAGTAAAAGGCTGATAATCGAGCAAAGGGCTTCCGAAGGTTCTGGTCATTCAATGACTCAAAATGATAGTGTAGAGCATAATGGCAATTTGAAGAACTTGGGAGGAGTTGATGGGTCTCTGCAAGCAGGTCATGGTGAAGCGAGACAGTTAACTGTGGGACGTAATGCCAATGGGGCAGCTAGAAATTTTACAGGCCAAGTTGCACTTGAGCAGTCTGGTTCGAAGAGAAGGGAGAAGGATTTATGTGCAGAAAGAGAGGACCCTTCGGAGTATATCACCCACAGAGCTAAAGATTTTCTTTCAAGCATAAAGGATATTGAGCATCGCTTTTTCAGAGCTGCAGAATCAGGTAGAGAGGTCTCCAGGATGCTTGAGTCAAACAAAATCAGGGTTGGGTATTCAGAGGCAAAAGGTAATTTTTAATGTTGGTTGGAGAGTGTGTGTTTTGTATGTCCCCTGCTGAATTAAATCCCAGCATTTGCTTGCCTTTGCGCTAGTGCCACTGATAATTTTAGTTGGTTGAATTTTTTTTTTCTTGTTTTTTCTCCATAAACTCTTTCTGACTATTCAAGTTTTGCAGGTAGATCATCAGCTTTGGCTGTTGTCACTGCTTTCCAGATTGTTTTCTGCCGTGGAAAGACTGCACTTGTTTCTCATGGTAATTTGTTGCAATTGATATGTCACAAGCTAATTATCAATCCAATAAATACTTTAGGGTTTGGATCCTAGTAATCCTTTGGTCTTTGAGGTCTTTTCCATTCACTCATCACTTCTGGTTTTGTAAAATCCTAGTAATCCTTTGATAAGTTAAAGTTCTTTTATTTGAAGCACAGGAGTTGTGTCTCGGACACAAAGAAGCAGCCAAATATAGTTCAACCCTTTAATTTTGATTTTTTGTGTGGCATTTGTTGGATCAGTTGGTTCACATGTATTATTTGCATATCATGCAGCCAAACAAATGAAGCCTCTTTGACCTGTTCACATTTTATTTAATGGAGGATAACTCTTTTACAAAATGATTGGAAACTCCTGTCTTTTCCCACCATAATATGAGATCTTAATGTTTTTTCAGAACCTACTCAACATGCAACAAAAGTTATTACCTGGAAGAGGACAACATCTTCGAGGTCATCTTCATCAAGGAATGCTCTTGCCACAGCATCAAAAGATGATGTTGATGACAGTGGAAGTGATTTTGTTGAAGAGTTTTGCATGATTGCCGGAAGTCATTCCTCCACTCTGGAGAGACTGTATGCTTGGGAAAGAAAACTCTATGACGAAGTAAAGGTACTTTGTTGAAGCCTCTGCATTCTTTTATTAAAGAGTCAAGTATCTTGTTGGACCTTTTCATTTCTGTAATCTATTGTTCCATGCTTTTAAACAATCTGCCACGTGATCTGCTTACCTCAATCCATGATTCAGCACATAAATGTGAATGTATGAATATTCCTGGCTTGATAGGGTCCGACAAAAAAAGAAAGAAGGAATTATTATTAGGGTAATAATATATGAAAAAGGATCTTCCTAACAATCTTGCTGACTTATATAGCAGAACTGGTTTTTCAATAGATGTTTTGCACACAAGAACACCCATATGTACATACATATGCATACTTATGAAAGAAATAATTTAGAGGGAAAGAGATACTCTGTATTGTGGAGAGTATGATTATTTGATGAAATCAGTTGGTAGATGGAGTGAGTATTGCTGGAAACATCAACTTTATATTATTGCATCTCATGACCCCTGTTTCTCTGACATTGAATACAGGAGAAAAGATAATGATTGATAATTTTTTTTCCGTTTGGCCATAGTGATCAAACTTATTATGTTATTGGTTTTCTAGCTTTTTTGTTTAATCATCTTCTCACATATCTTTTTGGTTCTTATAGGCAAGTGAATCTATTAGGAAGGTGTATGATCAGAAGTGTGATCAACTTAGGAATCAGTTTGCAAAGGATTGTAGCAGTCAAGTTATTGATAAAACCCGGGCAGTTGTAAAGGATCTTCATTCACGAATAAGAGTGGCAATTCACGCTGTTGATTTAATATCAAAGCGGATTGAGAAAATGAGAGATGAAGAATTGCATCCACAACTTTTAGAACTTACTCAGGGGTACGTAGGATCCTCTTGTTCCCATAATGGACTTTGTGGCCACTAAATGTTATTTTCCAATCGTTGGAATTCAAATTTTTTTGTTTCAAAGCATCACTAACCTTGTATTTGTGAATGGTGATTCTGTGTAGATTGACCAGAATGTGGAAGGCCATGCTTGAATGCCACCATGCGCAATATATTACCATCTCATTGGCATATCATTCGAAGAGCTCAACAGTAACTTCCCAAGGGGATTCCCGCAGGCTGATCATGGCCCAACTTTTGGATGAGATTGAGTGTTTTGGCCTAAGCTTTGCAAACTGGATCAACAGCCATACGTCATATGTTGAAGCTCTCAATGGTTGGCTACATAACTGCATCATGCAACCAAGGGAGCGTTCCAAAAGCAGAAGGCCATTTTCCCCTCGTCGAGTTTTGGCCCCACCTATATTTGTTCTCTTTCGAGATTGGGCAGCCGGGATCCAAGCATTGCCTTCTAATGAACTTACTGATGCAATCAGAACCTTCTTATCAGATCTGCGTCATTTGATGGCACAACAAGCTGCACAGAAAAACCAGAGGACAGCTGATGCAAACAACGGAGAATCAGAGAACAAAGATGATGAGAACAGCGAAGAATCATCTCCAAACCTGAGCTGCATACATTCGAGCTTGACAAAGGTTCTGGATAGACTGACTAAATTTTCCGAGGAATCATTAAAGATGTATGAAGATATCAGACAGAAAAGTGAAGCAGCTCGAATTGCATATCTAAACTGCAGGCCCGTTAGATACTGAGTTTATGTAATTATTACATATAAGCATCTCTTAAGTTTGTGATTGGATACAGGTGTGTAAAGTTGAACTATTGCAAAGAGCTTTTGGGTTAGGAAAAGTGCATACGATTTTAGAACTGAAATAGGAAGAGTTTTCTGCCAAAACTAGAATGAATATTTTTTTTCGTGATTGGTTATATTGTTATGCAACTAGTCTCAGAGAGTGCTTTTTTTCTTTGCCTCCTTATGGGGTGTTGAAACTTGAAACCACAGACCACTTTGTCTGAGGTGCAAGCCATTTCACATGGCGGAAACATGAAAAAGAAAAACCTGTTCTTGGTAAGATAATGGACGACATCTGCAATTTCCAATTTACAGGCAAAGGTTCCCTTGCCATGCAATCTGCATTTAAAAACTTGTATGTCATATGTCAAGCACCAGTTGCTTTTTGAATTGATAATGTTACAAGTTACAACAGTACATGAGTATTCAAAGCTCCCTTGTTATGCCAATTTGGCTTTGACAATTATTTCCTGCTTTTTCTTTTTCTATAAGAATTAAAAGCCCACGTATTGTGTGTAATGAGAGTAGGCATCTGACTGCATTGCAATTGGGGCCCGTGTAACATGATCTGGAATATCAAAAGCGTCTATCAGTTCCCTCGCTATATTTCTTACTCGGAAACTCAGATATTCTGCGAGTTTGTGGATTGCCTGCACAGACAGAAATCATCAGTCAAAATTGGGAACTTCAGGGCATTCCTTCAAAAGCCATGCATGATGCATTTGTGACTGCTTCTATTCAGGCTTACATATGGTTTCCTTTATCCTGACTCGTAGTGATAGCGTAGAATCAAAAGATTTTTAGTTTTATTTTTCATGCTTCATTGGATTATTAGTCAAGGTGTTTAAATACCTTAGCTTTGTTTGGTGCCACATAATCAACATTACGATAGGTTCCTATATCTTTCCAGATTCGTTCCAAGGCATAAAGATCACAGATGAGTTTCAAAGCAGCTCGAGAACTTGCATCCGGACAACTGGCACATAAATAGCCCAAATTAGAAATACAAAACCATAATGGAAAGAGAGAAATTAAAGTAACAGAGAAATAAGAATTACTTCTGAACAGCTTCGATAAATTTGGCAAGGATGACAGACTCAATATGAGACTCTGCAAGTGTCAAAAGGTGATTTAAGCATCTATTCCAAGCACCAAAACTTCCAAGAGTTTTAGAGTGCTTGCGTAGTCTAACGGCAACACTCTGGAGTAATCGAGAAGTTCGGTACTGCAAGAGGAAAATTATGAGACTAAAATTTCAGTTTTGATTTTATACTAAAAGTAGGATTTGAATCAGAAAACCAAGATAAAACTCACTCTAAAAGCATCCAACTGGAACTTAGGATCTCGCAAATGGTCTTCACTTTCCCAACGAGCAGTCACTGGATTTGGCTGAGATAAATATAAGTTCATGGACTCTCTAAGGTAGTTCCATGTAACAGTGAGTGTGCCCCCTTGAAATTTCTCCTTGTATTGCTTCAACAGATCACCTGCTACCTGCATCACAAGTGATAAATTTCAGAGTAGGAATTGCTTTACGACAATTTTTTTGGCATATCTATTCATCTCTTGTTTGAACACTTCATGCTCTACTGATTTGGAACCCATGAATGTTTTATCCTACGAAACAAACTAGAGTATACATCATAAACACTCCAAGCAAGAGTGTAGAGAAAGTGATGCGTTAGCAACCTGTTGTAGAAGCACTGTGTTGTCCCCTTCAAATGTCTGAAAAATGTCATGGTCATTCCTCAAGCTACCAAAGCGGTTGACAGCAGCATACCCATGGCCTCCACAAGCTTCCCTGCAGATACTCAATGACTTTGCTGTATATCCTGTCACATAAGCCTTGAGTCCTGCTGAAAGCGAATGGACGTCACCAACCAATTGTTCATCATGAGTCTTTTTCATCTCTGCATATTTCTCCACCAAATGCAGCGTGGCAAAATGGAATGCATAAGTTGAAGCCAGCATTGGCATTAACTTGTGCTGATGGGACTGGTAATCAAGAATAGCAACTTCAGGTTGCTTAGGAGGACCAAATTGTTGACGCAGTAGAGAATATCGAATTGCAATTGTGGCAGCAATCTTGAGGACACTAACTGAAGAATATGCAAGGCCGACTCTCCCACCTACAAGTTCCCCTAGTGTGGCAGCAAACCTTTTATTTATAGATGGTAAGCTACTTGTGTATTTCCCATCCTGGGAGACATCTCCAAATCGATTAAGAAGATTATCACGAGGGATTCTCACTGAGCGGAATCTTAATGCTCCATTGTCCACCCCATTCAGACCAACCTTATGGCCACAATCATGTATCTCAATCCCTGGAAGAGTTTGGTGGGTCTCGAAATCCCTTATTGGCACAATGAAGGCATGGACACCCATATCTGAAACTCCTTTGGTATCATGAGTTGGCAACATGAGCTTAGCAAAAACAGTAGCAAACTTGCCATGAACTGCAGCATTGCCAATCCACCATTTGATGGCACCATCATTGGGTGTGTCGATTATAAATTCATCTGTGAGTGGATCAAATGTTGCCACAGTTTGTAGACCTTGAACATTTGAGCCTTTAGGCACCAAAATAAAAAACAAACGAGGTTAGATCTGAATTCTAGATATAGTAATGCACCAGTACCTAAGAAATATAAACATAAAACAAATAATAACAAAGAAATGCGAACCAAAAGATGATCGATAACCATCATGAACCTGTCTCTTCTAAAAAAACGAAAGGGGATAATTAGCACCAACCAATCAACAGTTATTATATTAACCAAGCGAAAGGTTGATAGACCGTGGGTGTTATATGTATTTCAGCACCCAGTCCATATCAACTCTGACACTCCAAAACTAAGGGACTAACAAGTCATCAAGAATCTTGGAGAACTTTCTTCATACTATCTCACACATCATTAATCTTTTTCTCATTGGACACTTTTCTCCATGTGATTTGACTTCCTCAGAATAATATTAGTCATTAAGAATAATGATTTGTGCTCACTCAAGTAAAAACTGCAAAAAGTTGTACGAGGGGCAGACCAATTCTTTCCACATAATCAAGATGCTTGAACACACAATGAAAGCATGTATTGAGATGTCACAGAAATTAAGTGTAATCTGAATATCAGCTTGGGCAAAAGCAACGAAACAAGTAAACAACTGGAAGTAGCAGAAACAGCTCACCGTGATGCAGTTCTGTCATAGCAAAACAACCTGGATAATCCATATTGTCAATACCATCAAAATACTTGTCCTTGTGTTTTTTAGTTCCTAAATTGAGTACAGAACCTCCCCAAAGACTGCTCAAGTGAGGAAAAAAAAATCAGTGTGATAAAACACAAATTGTAAAGATTAAGGCAATTAACCATCAAACTACGTTTCAGGTAAGCATATAATGGAAGAGAAAAGGCCCCATGACAAGTTTTTGTCAATCTAAGAACCATGAAATTACATCAATTGAATCCAAACACAAAAAATCAGCAATAATGAATGTGATGATAAACTCTGCGGACCCTCTATTTTAATGGAAATTTCTTCCTTAAAAAATTCATTGTAGTTCTTATAAATATAGCCAAGACTTTCTACCTTCCAATATTCTGGTAACCGTCCATTCCAGAATATTCAATTTGCACAACCAGGCATGTCGGCTATCACAAGGTACCCACCACATGAAAATTGTCTTAATTGTCCCTCGCTCACCTTATGAACCTTCTGCATGTTCTCAAATTTTTTATTTTTTCCCAATGTTGACACACATCCACCTTAAGCCCATCCTGCTATTTCTAATCATGCACATTGCACCTCAATCACCAAATTTTCATCTATGCTAATGGGTGGCCTTACAGCAGTGTTAGTATAGGGTTTTCCATTTTTCACAAATTTTGTTGGTTTACCATTGTTTCAATAGCTTGAGCTGTTAGAATGCGAACCAACAGTTATTTTATACCGTAAACAGCCTCCCTCACAAGTGGGAACTAACACATGAACTACTTGAATTAAATTGTGAGAAAATACGGCAGAGCGTGGACCTCCACCTCCTCTCCATTACAAGCTGAATTTCACTGGTTAATCACTGGTCCCAAAAACATAAGCTTTTGGATGTGGACCACCAATTGTTTTGTATTGTAACAGTTTTGTCTACTTACATATATATATGTACCTCTGTGTGTGGAGCAGAAACAAATTTAGTGCAGTAACAATCATCCAAAAGCAATTACAACACAGAGTAAAACAAACACACACATACTATGATGTACTAAGAGCGAAAGCTATGATTTGGGAAATCGAACGAGACAATTCAAAGAATCATGGTCATCCGTCATGGTAAACCCACCAATCCAATAATCAAACAAGACAAAACCAATGTCAAAATACACCTTTTCCCCAAAAATTCCGATCCCAAACTCAAAATTAAAAGCCATCATTAGCAACCAAATGCCACAAAACCCAGAACCAGAAAAGCACAACAATAAACATCATAGTAGCAATAATCACCTGTACTGC